AATAAGCAAAAAATAAAATAAAATTGATAAGCAGCCCAGCAAATTTTCCCAGGATTCTGTATAATACACCAAAGATTGTAATGTTTGCTTTAAAACTTTATGATAAGTTCCAGAGGATTGAGCCAAGGGAACATTATGATTCTATAACTACACAGTGGAATGGAAGCCTTTAATCTGCCAATTATGTTCTTATGCTGCATTTCATTATGATTGTTTAACAACCAATCCATTCTATTATGTTCCTAATCTGCCTTTATGATGGTGACGATGATGATGAGATGGGTTTGGATCAGTTGAATAGCCTTAATATTTTGTTAGGAAAAATAAAATATTTTAACACGTAATGTTAAAATGGATCATTAATTCTCTATCATTCACATCCTACTCTAAGTGAGTTGACAGAACATTTAACCATTATAAAGGAATAAGAAGAACAATATCTGCGAGCCATTCTATTTTTAAATCTAATGTTCGCAGGAGAAGCACACTAGCCTTGATGTGCTGCATGCAGAATTACATAGTATATATGGCAACCAAGACTCCCATTTATAACCCTATTGCTTGGTTTAACCTAATCTTGCGTAGCTTTTCTCCGGTAATATTGAACTGCAAACTAGGGCATACAAAACTTTTGCCAGACCAATTCTTGAATACAGCTCATCTGTCTGGAACCCGCACTGCATATTGGACATTAATACAATCGAACAAATCCAGAGATATTTCACGAGAAGCGTCCTACACTCCTCTGCTCGCAACAGAATACCTTATGCCACCAGACGCGAAATTTTGGGCTTAGACAACTTAGAACTTCGCTGTCTTTGTTTCCGACCTAAGTGTAGTACATAAAATTACCTGCTACAATGTCCTATGTGTCAGTGAATACTTCAACATCAACCACAACAATATATGAGCACACAATAGATACAAACTTAAAGTGAACCGCTCCAAACTCGATTGCAGAAAATAAGACTTCAGCAACAGAGTGGTCAATGCCTGGAATGCACTACCTGACTCTGTGGTTTCTTCCCCAAAACCCCAAAACTTTAACCTTAGACTGTCTACTGTTGACCTCACCCCATTCCTAAGAGGTCTGTAAGGGGCTTGCATAAGATCACCAACATGCCTACCATCCCTGTCCTAATGTCCCCTTTTATTTGTATCCATTTCTTGTATTCATAATCATGTTTATACTTATATCTGTTATCTAATACATGCTTGATGAAAACAAACAAACAAACAAATAAATAGGATACGAGTTCTTTAAGAAGACAGTACCTTGTGCTTTAATGTTTCTTTTCTTCTTGGCATAAGAAAAGAAGGATTAAGAATGCAGGTACTCTTGTCTGCCAGCTCTGAAGTATTGACAAAGAATACAGCAGGACCTCCAACATTTAGTGGAAATGTCAAACTGTAGACACATGCCTCTGCACAGAGATAGGCTAACAGTACATTCTTTCAAAATTTGATGTCCCTTTGAACATATTGCCTTTTGCACTTACAAGAACTTTGGTAAATCTCCTTGAAGAACCATTGCTTGAAGTCCAAAACTGAGGACCTTCAGATCTGTCAAAGGATCACTATCTTTGCTTGGAACCAAAGGTGACTTAGCCTTCAGGGCTAATATCAGAAAGCTCTGTTTCCTTCAGGTTCCTCATCTCCTGATCAGCCTTAAAGCCTGTGCTTTTGTCCCTTATATGGCAAGGGATGGTGGCCTCTACTGGACAAAAGCTAGACTTCTTTGGCTTGACTTTCCCAGTGTCATAGAACAAGGGTTGCACGGACTTCAGAAATGATCCAGAAGAAGCGTATCAGACCTGGTGCATACGAGAGTAAAGCTGTGCTTTGCCATTTCTTAGGTTCTTAAAGCGGTAGCATCTTTCACACAGAAGCCTGAAGGAAGCCAGGCTCCTTTAACAAATAGCAGTGGGATGCTGTGCTCATAAGCAGTCAGCAGCGCTTCTTCTGAATCATTTTCAAAACATGCACAATAATAAGTAGTACCAACTTTATACATCAGTTCATACATAAACTGCATAGATAATAGACTTGTGTAAGGCTGCTGCAATTCATCTCGTACAAATAGAAGCCTTTCCCTGTTACTGAAGGTGTCAAAGGAGGCAATAAAAGTGATGTGAAATGAAGCAACAGTTTGTCTTTTCCTTTATAAGCAGGGGGTGCTGCATTGTTTGCAAAAGCAGCTTTGAAGGTTGAAGTAAAACACTCTAAGCTTGACACACCTCAGACAGAATGGTCCATGTGCATGTTATGTGGCAATACCATTTTCATGGCTGGGTGTGTGTCAAGACTACATTTCCTTTAGCAGAGTAACAGAGTTGGAAGGGACTTTGGAGGTCTTCTAGTGCAACTATTTGCTCAAGCAGGAGATCCTGTACCATTTCAGACAAATGGCTGTTCAATCTCTTCTTAAAACCCTCCAGGGATGGAGCAATCCACAACAACAACTTCTGGAGGCAAGCTGTTCCACTGGTTAATTGACTAATTAGCACGTAACAGATATAAGTAGTCCCCTTCTTGTGGAAATTTTCAATGAACGTTTTGCGCATGAACACTAGATTAAGAAGAATGAAGTCGTGCCAGATGGTCTTTGGTAACCCTAACAGCTAGCATAATGGAGAAATTTAAAAATATATATTTGAGAGAAAAATAATGGAAAAATAGGGATTATTTGACAATCTGCCTCTCCCAAATGACATCTACCTATCCTATCAAGTCCAGCAGAAGAAGCTTGTGATGGACTCCATTTACTAGAGATTGACATTTCAAGGGTCCCAGGAGGAGGACCTTTTTTCTGTTATATCCACCCTATGGAATATGATTCTTAAAGTCTGGTGGCTTCGAACCTTGATGGGCTTCTGGAAGGGCCTGATAACCTAGTTTATGATCTTGGCTTAGGAAACAGAGAGTGGTGCAGAGCCCATAAAATAGCTGTAATGTTGAATGACTATGATTTCCCAGTGATTGCACCGTATGGCATTAAACAATTGTTGAATTGTTTTTAACTTTTGCATTGACTATATGGCTGCTTTATTTTTTATTATTTTTTGTATTGTTTATGTTTTAATTAACCACCGCGTTGGTGATGCAGTGGACTAAGTGCTGTTATGTAGCACTTAGCTGCCAGCTGCCTGCAATTAGTGTGAGTTCAAATCTCACCAGGCTCAAGGTTGACTCAGCCTTCCATCCTTCCGAGGTAGGTAAATTGAGGACCCGGATTGTGGGGGCAATAAGCTGACTTTGTAGAAACACCGCTTATGGGGGGCCAAAAGCCCTAATAAGCAGGTATATACAAAAGAATGAAGGCTATTGCTATAAGTGCATTGTAAGCCACCCTGAGTCTTAAGAGAAGGGCGGCATATAAATTGAACTAATATATAAATAAATAAATAATTGCAAGGCACCCTGAGTCATGAATGTGAGATAGATAATATATAAAAAGAAGAAAGGAAGACAGGGAGGGAGGGAGAGAGGGGAAGAAGGGAGGGAGGGAGGAAGGAAGGGAGGGAGGGAGGGAGAGAGGGAGGGAGGGAGGAAAGAAGGAAGGAAGGAAGGAAGGAAGGAAGGAAGGAAGGAAGGAAGAATCTCAATCTTTTAATGAAGAAATCTCAAATGCCAAGCTGAGAAGATTTTGTATAAAGCAGCAGTACTCATAAAATATGAAGTATTAAACTCATAAAACTGCATCTCACTTATTTTGGCCATGTCATGTGGGAGAATTCACTGGAGAAAGCAATTATGTTGAGAAGAGTTAGAGGTAAAAGGAAACCGGGCCTCCAAAGAACACATTGGCTGGCCACCATCAAAGTTGACACCAGCCAGAGAATAGAAAAACTCAAAGAAGCAGTGCAAGCTCTGAAGATGTGGAAAAAACCTGGATCATAGAATAGGCAAAAGTCAAACACGATTGAATGGATAACTTCATCGTCATAAATATAACCCTTCTTAGATGTGGTGGAATTGATTGTCAGGGCTGGGTGAATATAGAATGAATTAACATAAGCACTTTTTTAAAAGCCAGCTTGGATTCACTGGATTTTGCTAATACCACTTTGGATTTTCTGAATGACACTGTTTTGGTTATGTGAGCACTGCTATTTGGACACCCAAATTAGCATAGATGACAGCATAGGTTTTACAAGAATAAAGTTTGCAGCCAAGATTTTGGAGGATGAAAACAACTAAGGCTGCCTCTCCATTTGCATTTTTTTTGGTTCATGATAACACTGATGGCCACTATCCAACCCAGATTTAAGCACATTTAAACATGAGTCAAACCAATAAGCTTAACTGTGTTCAATATTGCAATGAATTCTGGCCAAGTTTTTTCAAGCATAATTATTTTGGACTTGGCAGGATGTTGCCATATGTAATTGTTGGATACCAATCCATATTTTTATCCCTGTTTCCAGAGAAAATCTCACAGAGGAGGTATGAAAATCACTCAAGGATTAGTTTATACCTCTTACATTTGTGATTTGGATTCCCTTTTCTAATGCTCAAATTCTGCAGTGCAGAATGCTATGGCACTCTCATGCAGTTGTGAAATGCTTCCGGTTCGGACCGGATCGCCCAATCCGGTAGCGATGGTAGCGGGTGGTTTGGAGAACCGATAGCAAAAATCCCTGCGCCCCTCCCCCATGCCCAGCTGAGCCATGCAATCACCAGAGACTTTTTTAAAAAAATCTTTTAACAGCATTTTTTCTAAAATCTCTTTGGCCGAAGAGGTTGTAGAAAAAAATGCTTTTAAAAGTTTTTTTTAAAAGTTGGCCACGCCCACCCAGTCACATTACCCCCCCCACCAAGCCACGCCCACCGAACTGGTAGTAACAAATTGTACATTTCACCACTGCTCTCATGCAGTTTTCTATTTTATTTTGAACGATTAAAGACTAATTAGGAGGAAGCTATTAGAGACCATCTGAAAGCTTTGATGCAGTTTTCTAGTTTCACATAAGAAGAAATCAATCCTCAAATACACTGAGTTTTGTTGTTGTATCAATATAATTTATTTTCTTAAAATCCCAATGATGTTTCAAGCTAGAGCATGAAATTGTTTTATATACAAAAGATTATCTGGAATTCTGAATTAATTAAATCACAATAAGAGCATTTTGGAATCCCTGCTTGCTGCTTCCCCATTCCCAAAAGACAATTTACTGGTGTAGCATCTCTGTATTCCAGAAGCTCCACAAAATATATTGTTTATATTTAGGTATTGACCTTGTTTTGCCATTAGATCTGTAGTGTAAAAGCTCTTAAAGGTACGTAGCTTTTGGAGGCGAGTTTTTTTTGCTTCGATATTATGTTTCATGTACACAAATCAACTGGATGTGAAGTTATTTCTTTCCATATTTCATCCACTTCCCTTTCTTTGGCCATGATCATGCTTCATGTTCTTTATGACTACTGTTTCTTAAGCTCGGGAACTTTAAGCACTTCAACTCCCAGAATTCCCCAGCCAGTTTAAAATCCCCAAGGTTAGGAAATCCTAGTCTAGCTTGTTTACAATTGTGACTGGGGGATTCCCATTCTTCTTTAGCCATCCTGGATCATAAAAGAAAGAAAACATAAAAGAAAGATGAAAAAATACCTTTACCAGCAAGGTAAAGTACAATGAGTAAAAGAGTACCTTAATTTCAGCCGTAATAATCCAAGGGCTATCAATAGATTCAAACTCAATATAATTCACTCTAATCTTGATTGTAGGAAATACGACTTCTGCAATAGAGTAGTAAATGTCTGGAACACTCTACCTGATCTTGTTGTTAGTCTTGCTAACCCCCATACCTTTTACCTTAAACTGTCTACTGTGTACCTTTCACATTTCTTAAGAGGTTCAGCGTGCCTACCGTCCCCATTTATATGTAATCATTCTATGTGTTTATGGCTATGTTTTGCCTATTTATCTCCTTTTATTTCTGCCAAATTTTTGTCATGTATCCATGTCTATGTCTATACTGTTACTTGTTTCCTTGTACTTGTTGACAAACAAATAAATAAATAAACAAATGAGAAAGAGGCAAAATTCTTGTAAATGTCACCTGATTAAAATAAGATCACACAAAATACCTCAAGCCATTTTTCTCGTTTGCTACAGCTAAGAACATCTGCTTAAAAATATAAGCAGTAGCTGCTGGATGAGATCGCATCTAATCCCTCAGTCTGTTGTCACAGTTACCAACCAACTGCACAAGGAAGCCATTGGTCTCCTACTGGATGGCTTTCAGTAGTTGTCACTCTGCTTTCAAGGCTGATATAAATGATCCTCAACTTACAACCATTCAAAGTTACGACAGCATAGAAAAAAGTCATTTTGGGCCAGTGCTTATGCTTACAGTTGTCCCAATGTCCCCATGATCATGGCTGCTTGGCAACTGCCATATATTTAAGACAGTTGCAGCATCCAGGGGGCCACACAATTATTTGTCATCTTCCCAGATAGCTTCTGAGAAACAAAGTCAATGGGGGAAGAGGGATTCACTTAACAACCATGTGGCTTAGTACCGGGTACCGTGGCTTAGGGCCAGGATACCTACGAGACCGCCTGCTGCTACCGATAACCTCCCACCGGCCAATACGCTCTCACAGAGAAGGCCTCCTCAGGGTGCCATCGGTCAAGCAATGTCAGCTGGCGGCCCCCAGGGGGAGAACCTTCTCTGTGGGGGCACCCGCCCTGTGGAATGAGCTACCTCCTGGAATACGACTGATCCCGGACCTCTGGACCTTCCGTAAGGCCCTGAAGACTTATTTATTCCAGCAAGCCGGCCTAGCCTAAATGGTTTTTAATGGGATTTTTAAATTTTATAGACTTGGGGTTTTAAATTGTGAGGCCGATTGATTTAATCTCTTTTAATTATCTTAACTTTTGTATTGTATGTATTTTAATTTTGGCTGTTCACCGCCCTGAGTCCCTTTTGGGAGAAGGGCGGTATACAAATTAAATTAATAAATAAGAAAAGAAAAGAAAAAAAATCACAAAGTACCGAGATTTGCAAATTGAAGTTGAGCGACTGTGGAAAAAGAAATTGTGTGTTGTCCCGATTGTAATTGGAGCCCTTGGAGCAATACCCAAAGGGCTACCCCGCTATTTAGAAATTCTAAATTTGACAGACTTGAACATTTTGACTCTACAAAAAACCACCTTACTCGGAACAGCTTACATCCTCCGATGATACCTTAACAGTTCCTAGGTCCTTGGTTAGGACTCGAGCTGCTGAGCTATTAACCAGCCTCAAAGGCTGTGAATCTCACTAAAGATTAAATAACAATAACAATAACAATAACAATAACAATCAATAATAATAATAATAATAATAATAATAATAATAATAATAAACAACTCAAGATCTTGTGGGACTTCAGGATTCAGACTGACAGGCACTTGGTCCATAGCACACCTGACATAACAATAGTTGAAAAGAAAAAAGTATGGTTCATTGACATTGCAATACCTGGTGATGCACGATTAAAGATAAGCAGCAAGAAAAAAAAGTACAGGGACTTGCAAATTGAAGTTGAGCAACTGTGGAAAAAGAAATTGTGTGTTGTCCCGATTGTAACTGGAGCCGTTGGAGCAATACCCAAAGGGCTACCCCGCTATTTAGAAATTCTAAATTTACTGGACTTGAACATTTTGACTCTACAAAAAACCACCTTACTTGGAACAGCTTACATCCTCCGATATACCTTAACAGTTCCTAGGTCCTTGGTATTACTGGTGCTGCGAGCTGCTGAGCTATTAACCAGCCTCAAAGGCTGTGAATCTCACTAAAGATTAACCAGTCATCATCATCATTCATCATCATCATCATCATCATCATCATCATCATCATCATCATCATCCACAACTCACTTAATGACTTAGCAGTGAAAGTTCCAGTCTCAGTTGTGGTCATAAGCCAAGGACTACCTGTAGCCATTATCACCTTGGCGTCTACAAATTGATTCAACCCTTTTATGAAACCAGCCCAGCTGATAGCCAGCAGCATATCTCTTGATGATATGGTGACACAGCTTGATGATGAATATATTCCAAACTACACTAATTTTCTTTCTCTATCTGAAAATAATACCAGAGTATAGCTGAAAGTAGTTTCCAGAAAATATGAATATCTAACTTTTTGGAGAACTGAAACTCTGTTGCATGTCACCTTGACATAAAGCTACTGTGAGTGGAACACACAGGAAGCAAAATCTCTCACCGTGAGCAGTGCTAACAGTAAACAATATCTCTTTAAAAGATCTGCTCAGTGGTTTTCCATATTCATAATTGGATTTCTAATCTTGGACAGACTTGAGACAGAAGTAATTTGCTCTTAGTTTATTGGAATGAGATGAGCTCTGTACACCAACTTTGCTGAAATCATAGATACGGACAGTCACAGAAATAGAACTAAATTAGGAGCACACAGATGGTTATGTTGGGGTGCCAAGTTGGGTTAAGATTCCTTCTTTGCAATAATCTTGTATTTATTTACAGCCAAAAGATGCAAATAGGATTTCCTATTTGGTACTTCACACTAGTGTTCTACAACCTGGTCCTCTACATTCCAGCCAAATGGGTGAGGAATTTTGCATAATGAAGTAGATAATGAAATAGATTTATAGGGCATCAGGTTAGAGAAGGCCACTCAACAACTGCAAACTGATAGAAAATTGGAATGCTTACCTTATTAGAGCCTTGTAGAAGAAATGATCAGCAGGCCATTTATTGATGAGTTATCCAGGGCAGCTTTATGCTGAAATGGTCTTAGATTTATCTTTAAAAGCTTTGTCTCTGTGAAACACAGAGGAAAAAGGGGGAAAAAATTACATTGAGGTCAAACTGGAGTTCAAATCTCAAGTTTCAGCACAGGGTAATTTTTCAGTTGATGGAAACTTTCTTAACCAATTAATGGGCAGCTGAGAGAAGGTAGGATCGCACTTTTTATTCATAGGCAGAAGTGTCAGTATAGTTATGAAAGTCGAAATGGTGATCAGGACAGTGTGATCAAAGCTCCACATGTGTGATACACACATAAAAAGTTGGCTCTTCAACTGAACTGTTGTAGCTGCCATCTTGACTGTTTCATCACACCTTTCAGCTACCCCCGCCCCTAAAACTATGAATTAGAAGATCATATGATTATCCATGTGGGAATTAAGTTTGTTCTCTACCATGTATAAGACCGGGTCTTATATTAATTTGTGTTCTAAAAGATGCATTAGGGCTTATTTTCTGGCTAGGTCTTATTCTTGGGGAAATATGGTACTAAATGCACCCATTTGGCTGACAATCTTAACTGGGGCTTATTTTGGGGGGTAGGGCTTATATTACGAGCATCCTGAAAAATCATGCTAGGACTTATTTTCCGGTTGGGTCTTATTTTCAGGGAAACAGGGTAGCTGCAGTTCATGTACCATTGTTGATTGATGGCTTGTATGCCATCAAGTTGTTTTCAATGCCTAGTAACCACACTGTTCTGTCCCCCGTCCTCACACAGACAAATGCAATATCAAACATGCCTGCCAATAATTTATTGTATAAACAGACCAGAATTCCTGGCAGATGAGAGTTCTGGCAGCTAACTGTAAAACGCCTGCCCAGTCCAATTAGTACTCCCAAAAAGCAGGAGAGGCCTTATCTGCAGTCCGTTTCCAGAGCGACAAATTATCCACAAGAGTTTAGTCCAAAATATATCTGAGCCGAAGTGCAGGATTCACAATGTGACTTTTAGAGTTTAAACTTTTGTCTGTCACAAAGCCTGCCGAGCAATCACACCCCCTTTTATCCCTTGTGGGATGTGGCTCAGTGACTCAGCTCAATCCCTGGCCCTCTCACGCCTCTTCCTTTGCTGCACACGCTTCTCCCTCCGACCCTGCCTGGGATCAAGCCAGGATTCATCATTATCACTCTCTATCAATGGGTGCTCTGAAATGCCTTCCTCCTGGCCCATCCCAGGCTGTTCCTCCTGGCCTTCGGATGGAACCTGAGGCATTGCCAAAGAGGAGGGTCCTGGAGAGGGAGGCCTTGTCAGTTCCTCCCCCTCACCTTCTGAGTCCTCTTCCTCCATGAGGACAGGCTCGGGAGTCGGAGTCACAACACACACAGATACATTTTCTTCTTGACAATCTATCCGTAACAAGTTTTTTTTAGGTCTCACAATGGTAAACTTATCACCACCTGAGTCCAGAACTGAAGAAGCATCTTGGATGAGAAGTGAAACATCTTAAAGAAAAATCAGAAAACCCAATTGCCTTTAAAATAAAAGCATCTTTGGGACAACCATGACTGGAGGAATGCAAACCTCCATAGACGCCTGAGTCAGCCTGTAATTGAGCCCATCCACCTTGTTGCTGGTTGTCCTTGTCTCTTTTCTTGCAGATGAAGCTCATCTTTTAAATTGCAAAACTTTATTTTATATCTTAGTTTTTCATCAGTTTAGCACTTGAAGTAAATACATACATAACTCAACATATATATTTTTTTGCCTCCCATGATTATTTACACAAATAAAATGACAACTTGACTCCAGAACTTTTAACAGACAAAAGGAAATGTAAGTTGTTTTCATAGTGGAGGCACAAGGGAGAGATAGCTGTCTTTTCCAGAGGCCAGCAGAGAACGAGTGACAGCAGTATTAACCTCTGGTGAGCTGCTCAGGAGCATATCTAATCCTTTGAATTTCAATTCCTTTCATTTTTCGTGAAAGAAGTGGGAAGATTTTTGACACTATGTGCATCCATTGGGTGACAAGGAAGGTAACTGTGATCTCCAATGCAAACACATCTGTGTGTGTGTGTGAAAATACCAGGGAAGTGAACAAAACAAGAAGAGTGTGTATCAAATGCTATTGATGATACATTAGGGAATCTGTGGCCTTAAAAACTTGGTTGTTAAAAAAAAAAGCTTTATTTCTCCTTCTGAGATGAAGGCATCCATACCAGTGGTGGGTTGACCCTGGTTCGGACCAGTTCGCAAGAACCGGTAGTAAAACTGGCAGGAGGCCCCAGTCACCGCCCCGGATATCGTCATCAGTGATCTGCGCATGCGCAGAAGCAAGCGAAACGAGCACGCGTGTGTAATCCCATTGTGAACTGGTGGTAAAGGTAAGTAGAACTCACCCCTGATCCAGACATATTGTTCCAGCAACATCTTTCTCTTTGGGCAGGCTTAAAAAGTTAACACTGGTACTGCCCCTCATGATGGGTGAGGTTGCCTCCTCGTGAGTAACCTGGCTGACTGGTGTTGTTCCTGTTGCCTCTCAGCCCCGCACAACCTTGGTTGGGGGGAGGGATTGACTCCACTTCCTCATCCTCTTTGACTGCTGGCAGGTGCTCTCGCTCCATGCCTGGAACCTCCAGGCTAGCTTGTTGCAGCTGTGATTCCTCTCTCCTCAAGATCAGCTGGCTGCTCATCTGGTAGTTCTGGCTTCAGTTGCTCCATTGAACTCTTTGCTCCCAAGTCTGCATCTCCAACAACTCCTGGACTCACTTCCCTATTTTTTCCAGAGGTGCCAGGGATGATCTCCTCCTCCTCCTCCTCCTCCTCCTCCTCCTCCTCCTCCTCCTCTTCTGATTCAGAGAAAAGACTGAAAGTGTACCCATTACAGTCTCTTATCAGTTTGTTCTTGTTAAAATAATGATTATTTAATAGCTGACCAGCTGATGTAAGGTTGTTAGCTGAAATGCTGATGCAATGAGAATGAGTCAGCAGGGTTATCACTTTAAGAGGCTGTCTATATAAGAGAGGTCCTGTGAGGGCACTCTCTCCCTCTGTGTATTATCTCTCTGTGTATTTCTCTCTGTGTATGCTTCGTGTTAAAGTTGAATATTGATTGCCTGGCTTTACTGGCTGGTGGCTCATCTCCCTATCTCCCAAATTCATTCCCACATACCATTATATGCATGTGGGTGAATATATCCATGTAAAATGTTTGTTCTTGCAAGTTTCATTCATTTCATTACTAATTTACTAGAATTCTACTGGTTCTAATTTGGATTTGGAGAAAGGTAAATGTGTTTCTCTACATGCTGTTTGTTTTAGTTGCAAAGAGAGGCATAGCTCATTACTTTCTGCCTATAACTTTTGTGTTTTCCATCAAACAGCATAACATTTCCAGATATCTTGCTATGCTTTCAAGACTTTGTCACACTTTTGACGGTTCTCCAAAGGTATTCCTATTTTAGAAACAATTAGAAAAAAAATATCACATATTTTAAGCCCTATTCATGTTTTGTGTAGTATATGAATGCAGGATCTCCGATCACATAAAGAACACTAGTCATGGATTGTATAAACACAAGTTGCTTAACCTGGTTTCTAAATTATCTCATTTTTGGGCTTTCCCAGAAATCAGAAACCATACAAGCAGAGTTCACACAATGAGCTAAGCCACAAAAGTGGGGGGGGGGGGGAGAAAGAAAACAAAGCAAAGCAAAGCAAGACTACCATCATGATCCAAAACTCAGGACAAAAATTAGCTAAGACTAATATACAAAAATATTATCATGTTGTGTGAATGCATCTGCTATACCTTTAACTGACTTTGTATGATAAAAGGGCAGGCACCTCCTCTCTATCACATTCAACACATCAACAATGGCTCAGACATTCAAATCAATCTTCTCTTAGGCATAAACTTTAGTACAATGCAAAAAAAGATTGTACCCAAAATCTCACTTTTGGGGTTATGCTATGCAATTGGTTCCTTTGGATCCAGACATAATGAGCACACCAATGAATAATGAAATTTTAAGGTTCATTATTAACTCAAACAAAAAGATTTTAAAGCATAATATAAAAAGCATACATTTCTTTCAAGTTGTAAGGAACTCTTTAATAATGACAACCAAGATACTCCAAGGGCAGTCAATTTCTACAGAACCCAGGGCTAGGTCTGTGCAGTAGTGCACCCACCTTAAAAGCCAGTAATAGGGTAAAAAAAAAAAGCTCAGTGGCTAAGACGCTGAGCTTGTTGATTGAAAGATCGGCAGTTTAGCGGTTCAAATCCCTAGTGCTGCGTAATGGGGTGAGCTCCTGTTACTTGTCCCAGCTTCTGCCAACCTAGCAGTTCAAAAGCATGTAATAAATGCAAGTAGAAAAATAGGGACCACCTTTGGTAGGAAGGTAACAGTGTTCTGGGCACCTTTGGCATTTAGTCATGCCGGCCACATGACCATGGAGACGTCTTCGGACAGTGCTGGCTCTTCGACTTTGAAACAGAGATGAGCACCACCACCTAGAGTTGGGAATGACTAGCACATATGTGCGAGGGGAACCTTTACTTTAAATAGGGTTTTGTTAAAACTGGCATCATGGCTTCCTTCCAGGGATGAAATGCTTCTGGTTCAGACCGGTTTGGCTGAACTGGTAGTGATGGCGGCCGGTGGTTCAGAGAACCAGTAGCGATGGCGGTGCGAGGCTCTGCCCACCCACCCAGTCATCATTACTTCCTGGTTTTAACCAGGAAGTAACTTGCTTTTTACCCTCTGCACATGCACAAAAGGGTTTGCGCATGCATAGAGGGTCCATGTGTGCATGTGACATGCGCATGGGAGTGAAGCATGCAGGCACGGCGTATGCACTTCTGAACCGGTTGGGAAGGTAAGCTGTGGTAGGATTCAAGTAATTTAACAACCGGTTCTCTGCCCTAATTATTTCTTCCAACAACCAGTTTGCCAAACTGCTCAGAAAGTTAACAACAGGTTCTCCCGAAGTGATGTGAACTGGCTGAATCCTACCACTGAAGGTAAGTAGATTTCACCCCTGCTTCCTTCTATAGTTATGAGACCGCA